CTCTTCAGTAGTTTCTTCCTCCCCACTTTGTGAACCAGGAAGACCTGGAAAATGGGAACATCCTTCTTGTTTTCACTTTCCTTCTTTTTACCAATTTCTCTGCCTCATTCACTGAGGAATTGGCTGCTAGCCCACACATCTCCTCTCCTACCGACGTTCTGAAATCTTTGTGAGTTCAGCATCCAGATACACAATCTCTTAAGTTATTTGTAGAGTCGGGCCTCACTACGTTGCCCAGGCGGGTCTCAAACTCCTGTTCTCAAGAAATCCTCCTGCCCCAGCCTCCCAGAGTGCTGGGATTACAGGTGTGAGTTACCGTGTGTGTTCACGGTACCTGACTCGGGTTCCTTTTCTGCCAGCTTAGAAGGGCAGCCCCGTGACTGAATGGGATTCTGAGGATGACTCCGCAGTTAGATCCTTGTTGCAGTGTATCCCACCTGAAACGCTGCACATCTGACCTGGGACTGTTAACACCCGTGCCAGTAGTGTGGGGTGTCTGCTTATATTTCCCCCCAAAAAAAAAAAAAATCTGTTTTGTTTACTTACTGTATCAAAAGAAAGTCTGGGGTGAACAGTAGTTTTTTGTTTTTGTTTTTGTTTTTTTTAATCAGCTGTGAAAAAAAGTTGCAGATCTGCAAAAAAAGAAAAAAAAAAGGAGGGTGATTTCATAGAAAAGTGAGGGATTTGGTGTGGGTAAGGTTGCTTCAAGTTGGTTTGGTACAAGAGCTTTCTAGCCATTCCTTTATATGTATGTGTATATATACACACACACTTTATGTTCTAGGGTACATATGCACAACATGCAGGTTTGTTACATATGTATACATGTGCCATGTTGGTGTGCTGCACCCATTAACTCGTCATTTACATTAGGTATATCTCCTAATGCTATCCCTTCCCCCTCCCCCCACCCCACAACAGGCCCCGGTGTGTGATGGTCTCCTTCCTGTGTCCAAGTGTTCTCATTGTTCAATTCCCACCTATGAGTGAGAACATGCGGTGTTTGGTTTTCTGTTCTTGTGATAGTTTGCTGAGAATGATGGTTTCCAGCTTCATCCATGTCCCTGCAAAGGACATGAACTCATCCTTTTTTATGGCTGCATAGTATTCCATGGTGTATATGTGCCACATTTTCTTAATCCAGTCTGTCATTGATGGACATTTGGGTTGGTTCCAAGTCTTTGCTATTGTGAATAGTGCCGCAGTAAACATACGTGTGCATGTGTCTTTATAGCAGCATGATTTATAATCCTCTGGGTATATCCCCAGTAATGGGATGGCTGGGTCAAATGGTATTTCTTGTTCTAGATCCTTGAGGAATCGCCACACTGTCTTCCACAATGTTGAACTAGTTTACAGTCCCACCCACAGTGTAAAAGTGTTCCTATTTCTCCACATCCTCTCCAGCACCTGTTGTTTCCTGACCTTTTAATGATTGCCATTCTAACTGGTGTGAGATGGTATCTCATTGTGGTTTTGATTTGCATTCCTTATCTGTTTAGAAGTGACTGATCCACCCACTGCCAGGACAGCTCATCAAACAATGGGACCATTTACCTATATGGCGCACAGCTGTAATATCCAATCATCTCCAGGTGCCAAGCATGTCCTCTCTTTTCACTGTCAACACAATAACAAGCGGAGGGTGGGGACCATTTGAAAGACAAAACGTGGACACCGGTTTTACAGATGGTGATGTTTGGACTACATGAATATCATGACCTGACTTTCTCAACAGTCCGAAGCTAAATAGAAACAAGCAGAAATCTCATCTCCAGCTTGCCAGGCCCCATCCTGTAGGCACATGTGAGATGCAAAAACTTGACCATTGTACTAGTAGGTGGAGCTGCCATTATCTGAGTCATTGAATAGTGTTGAGACATAGAATTGGGTTGACACTGCCAACTCCTAGAATTAAGATCTAGGCATTGCAGGTACGTCACTCACAGCTCCAACAAATGCCTCTGCCTTCATAGAGTAGCTTTCTGACTTCTGTTTAACATTTTCTTGGAATAAAGTCTTGGAAATAAGCCCATATAGCCAGACATGATGGCTGACGCCTGTAATCCCAGCACTGAGGTAGGGGGATTGCTTGGGTCCAGGAGTTAAAGACCAGCCTGGGTAGCATGGTGAAACTCTGTGTGCTCAGGAGTGAAAGACCAGCCTGGGCAACATGGCAAAACTCGGTGTCTACAAAAACATACAAGACAATTAGCCATGCCTGGTGGTGCACACCTATGGTCGCAGCTACTGGGGAAGCTGAGGTGGGAGGATTGCTTGAGCCTGAGAGATTGAGGCTGCAGTGAGCTATGATTGTGCAACTGTACTTCAGCCTGGGCAACAGAGCAAGACCCTGTCTGGGAAAAAAAAAAAAAAAAAAAGAAAGAAAGAAAAAATAAATAGCCCATATAGGGGAAGGGGAAGAACAAAGAGCTCAGTGAGGATCATACCAGAGTCATCCAGGTTGATGGCTGTGGCTCGCCCATGAGTACTAGTAGTTGAGATGAGGAGAGCTGTTCAGATTCTGAACTTGTTTTCAAGTTCTAAGAGAATCCTCTTTCTTTTTCTCATAGTCCTATTGAGGTATAGTTGATATAAAATAAATAACTCATATCCAAAGGGCCCAATTTAATAAAGTTTGGAATCCTACCCAGCAGTAAAAAGAAATCATTGATAACCCCCAAGAACACGGAACAATCTCAGAATGTTACGAAGGTGAAAGGGGACAGCCAGAAAAAAAAAAAAAAAAAAAAAAAGTGCATCTGGTATGAGTCTATCAATATAAAATTCCAGAAAATTCTATCACTAGACTGGGTACAGTGGCTGACACATGTAATCTCAGCACTTTGGGAGGCAAAAGCAGGTGGATTACTTGAGCCCAGGAGTTCAAGATCAGCCTGGGCAATATAGTGAGACCCCATCTCTACACAAAGTAGAAAAAATTAGCCGGACATAGTGGTCCCAGCTACTTGGGAGGCTGAGGTAGGAGGTTCACTTAAGGCTGAGAAGTTGAGGCTGCAGTGAGCCATGATCGTACCACTGCACTCCAGCCTGGGCAACAGAGCAAGACCCTGTCTCAACAAAAAAAAAAAAAATGGAGAAAAAAAAGAAAAAGGAAATTCTGTCAGTGATCTGTAATGACACCGAGAACACCAGTGGTTGTCCAGGGGTGGAGCTGTGGGAGGGACAGACGATGAAGAGCCTGGGGAAGCGTTGGAGGATGGTGGGAATGCTGAGCTTCTCGATGATGGTAATGACTTCGTGAGTATGTACAGATGTCAGAACTTGGACTCTGGACATGCAGGCACAGGAACCAGCTAGAGGAGCTGCTGCACAGCAGTGTGAATGCACCAAACGCCACTAAACTGTGCAGATAAAACAGTTAGTTTTATGTTGCGTGAAATTCATGTCAATAAACACATGAATCGAGGTATAGGATTTGTTGAGAGACTGAGTTTATCGTGTGAGGGAAATGCAGGAATCAAGGATAACCCCACAAATCTTGTGGATTGCACATGAAGGGGGCTGGAGCCACCTTTACCTGAGGTAGGGAAGGATGTAGTCGGTCTGGGATGTGTGGTGATTGACAGGTCTGTTAGGCATCCGAGATGAGGGAAACTCCAATTCCCGTGAGGGAAGGACGGTGGTTGGTCATACATTCTTAGAGAAGCTTTAATTCTTTGTGTCATTATTATTATTGACTTTATAAATTTACAAATACAAATAGTACACATTTCTGGTGTACAACACAATGTTTTGATACATATATACAACATGCAATGGCTAAGGCAAATAACTTGACATATGAGTGACCTTGCATACTTATCTTTTTTGTATGAGGGGAATATTTATGTATTCATTTATTTTTCAAGAAAGGGTTTGGCTCTGTCGCCCAGGCTGGAGTGCAGTGACGCGATCACAGCTCACTGCAGCCTTGACCTCCCAGGCTCAAGCAATTCTTCTGCCTCAGACTCCTAGGTGGCTGGGACTGCAGGCTCGCACCATAATGCCCAGCGATCTTTCGTGTTTTTTGTATAGACTGAGTTTTGCCGTGTTGCCAGCCTGATCTCAAAATTCTGCTTTCAGTTGTGTACATTACTGAGAAGTATTCACACACCATTGTGATTGTCACTTTCAGTACAATGTTCAATAAATGACATGAGATATTCAACACTATTATAAAATAGGTTTTCAGTAGATGATTTTGCCTGACTGCAGGGGAATGTAAATGTTCTGAGCAAGTTGAAGGTAGGCTAGGCTAAGCGCTGAAGTTCAGTAAGTGACCTAATAGTAAATGCGTTTTTATTTTCTATATTTTACATTCACAGTGGGTTTATCAGGATGTAACTTCATTGTAAGTCGAGGAGCATCTGTACTGTATACTTGAAATTTGCTCAGAGGGTGTATCTTAAATGTTTCCTACACACACACACACACACACACACACATATCAAGAAATAAAAAGAAAGATGTAGCTCGCGCCTATAGCCCCAGCTGCTAGGGAGGCTGAAGCAGGATTGCTTGAGCCCAAGAGTTAAAAAATAAATAATAAGAAGGAAAGAACATGGTATCTATGTGAGGTGATGGAGACGTTAACCAGCTTGGTTCTGACGATTGCATCACAATGTATACATGTTTCCAAACTTTAGCCTGGTGACCTTCGTTAATATGTTGGGGCCTGGCGCAGTGGCTCATGCCTGTAATCCCAGCACTTTGGAAGGCCAAGGTGGGTGGATCACGAGGTCAGGAGTTCAAGATCAGCCTGGCCAAGATGGTGAAACCCCATCTCTACTAAATATACAAAAATTAGCTGGGCAGTGGTGGTGGATGCCTGTAATCTCATCTACTTAGGAGGCTGAGGCAAATAATGGCTTGAACCCAGGAGGTGGAGGTTGTAGTGAGCCAAGATTTTGTCACTGCACTCCAGCCTGGGCGACAGAGCGACACTCTGTCTCAAAATAATTAATAATAATAATAAAATAATAATGTGTTGGGAAAGTCTTAGCCAGAGCAAGGAATAAAGGTCATCCAAATTTGGAAGGAGGAAGTCAAATTGTCTCTCTTTGCAAACAACATGTCATCTATAAAAACTCCTGAAACCTCCACCAGTAAAACTGAGAACTGATAAAGGAATTCAGTAAAGCTGCAGGATACAAAGTCAACATGCAAAAATCAGTAGTGTTTTTATACACCAACAACAAACGAGTGGGACAAAAACCAAGAAAGGAATCCCATTTACAATAGCAAAAGAACCCCTAAAAACCTGGTAATAAATTTAACCAGGGAGGTGAAAGATTTCCACAAGAAAAACTATTAAGCACTAATGAAAAAAAACTGAAAAAGACCACCAAAAATGGAAAGACATGTTCATAGAATGGAAGAATTAATATTGTGAAAAAGACCATACTGTTAATAGACATCGACAGATTCGATGCAATCTCTTCCAAAATACCAACAACATCTTCAAAGAAATAAGACTATGAATTTCCAGAGGGGAGGATTTGGGAGAATTGTGTAGCCTGATGGTGGTTTAGGCAGCTCCCAGTTAATTCCAGTAAATAACTCCATTCTTAATTCTAACTCATTGTCAACACCTCAGTGGTAAACCAGAAAAGTTATGAGAATCTGCATCAGAAAATAATTGTTTCAACTTCTTGGCAAAATGACCTTGTATCCAGCACTTCCCTGACAGTATTATTTCATCTTCAAACAACACATCAAGAAAGTTCTACTCCCAAGAAATTTGAAGTTCCCAGAGTGAAGTGGCTTAAGATTTCCCAGGGATTTAAACCAGAATCAGTGTAAAACCAGCAACCCTCCCATTTATCCTAAAGGTTAGAGAAGGTTTCCTTTGAAATTAAAATGAATGAGTCACTATTCGAATGGATTAGTGTTACCCAATTGATGGTGTGAACTTCCCAAATTATAATCTAATCTTGCCTAGCATTTAATTATCATTCCACATTAACTCCATGATCCATACAGTAAAATTCACACCCACCATTAAGGCTTTTAGTGCTTGAGAGCCCTAACTGAGGGGGCTGAGAACTAGGGAATCCCATGGGACCCTCAGTGTATCTATAAACCACCCTCATAGCGTCCTGGAATGAATGCAGAGACGAGACCATGTGCCTTTCTCTGGTTCCCACTGTTTTTATATAAGGGTAGGCTGGCTAATAGCAAACTAGTGATTTAGTCTAGCTCAAACCAAGTTTTCCCATGTCAATTCCAATATTCTTTTTTAAAAAGTGAAAAATTATCACCAATATTCATTATGTATCAACAAAGACTGTCTCTTTTTTTTCAGTATCTTGACATTCGCATGTGAAAGCTTTGCTCAAACTAGATCAAATCACTGGTTTGATATTAATCCACCAGCTCTTAACATGTTTTTTACTTGTTAGGATATTACTCTCTGTGGCATGAGGGGACCCAAAGTGGTTACCACGTGCGGATCTGTATTTTCTGGGGCCTCCAAATACCTCAGCAATATGACAGCTCAGTAGAGCGGGAAAACCTGTGTTCTTTGCACAGTAGGCATGTTTAATACATTAATTTCCTGTGGGCGGGGTTTCAGTGGCAAATGTAATCAACGCCGCTTACGTACAATGGACTCTATGGCCCTAAACCAATCATGGGGCGGCGCAGGGAACCGGAAACGGGGCCTCAGTCCCTTGACTTCTCCATAAATTGACGCAGTTCAGCTCCAGGCCAGTTGGAGAGCGCATCCCAGAGCGAGGAGGTTGGCGGCGGAAGCCGGGAAGGAGGTAAGTGTCCAGCGGGCGTATGTCTGTGGGGTTTAGGAGCTGGCGTGCGCGGGGGTTGGTTTCAGAAAGTTTGGGTGTATTTTCTCATGCATTTGCTCGGAGACTTTGTGCAGGCAGCGGATCTCCTTTGCACCCCATGGTTAACTCTGACTCGTTATGCAATGCTTCTGTAAACTGGGAATAATGATAACTTTCTCATCATAGTTAGGTTATATTTTATTTCATTTTCTTTTAGAGACAGGGTCTCGCTAGAATTCCAGACTAGCCTGGAATTCCTGGGCTCAAGCGATCTGCCCACCTCCACCTCCCGAGTAGCTGGGACTACAGTCATATGCCACAACGATCGGATAAATTATTTATTTATTTATTTTGCAGAGATGGGGTCTCGGTGCGTTGCCCAGTCTGGTCCTGGACTCCTGGGCTCCACCATGCTCCCGTCTCGGTCTTCCAAAGTGTTGGAATTACAGGTGTGAGCCACCTTGCCTCCCACACACCCTTCTTAAAAAACGTTGCTGGATTTTCCCTTTGTGCAGGGTAAAATCAAGCCATTGATGAAGGAGCATCAACCTACTAGGCCAGTGAGAATCTGAGCTAAGTGTCCCTACCTGGGTGGCCCGTGTGGTATATACTCCCAGAACTGGATACTAACTCCTGTACCTGCCTTTATTTTTTCCTGTGTCTTGTTTCTTGCTTTAACGGGAAATGAACTGAGATCAAATACAAAGTGGTTTCTAGGAACATGAAACCACTTTTTTTTAAGAGACAGGATCTCACTATGTTGCCCAGGCTGTTACCAAACACGGGCTCAAGTGATCCTCCCGCCTCCCTGAGCAGCAGCAGGTGCCCTGTGGCAAAATCACTTTTAGTTCCAGAATTTCGGGCTCCCTTTCGTCTCTCATATCTGTATGCTTTTTCAATAAAAATTAACTTGCTTCTAATTGAAAACTAGAAATTGTATATATTTATGGCATATAGCATAATGTACTTTGTAGTATCATAAACATTGCAAAATGGCTAAATTAAGCTAATATTCATATGCCCTACCTCATGTACTAACCATTTTTGCTTTTGAGAATACTTAAGTCTACTTTTTTTCACCATATTGGACAATTGCTTTGTTGAATTTATTTCTTCAACTGAAATTTGTACTCTTTGACCTGTATCTCTCTAGCCCCCACCCCAGCCCTGGTAACCACATTCTACTCACTGCTACTATGAGTTCCACCGGGTTTTTAATTATTATTTATGATATTTACTTCCGTTTAAAATTTTTTTATAATTTGAACTTTTATTTTAGATTCGGTAGGTACCTGTGCAGGTTCGTTACATGAGTATATTGAGTGGTGCTGAGGTTTGGGGTATGACTCAACCTGTCACCCAGGATGTGAGGATAGCAACCAATAGGTAGTTTTTCAACCTTCCGTCCCTCTGTCTCTCCAGTGTTTCACTGTTTTGGAGTCCACGTCCTGATTTCCTTTCCTCTGCGTACGGGTCCTGGAGCAGGATTGCCAGATCATGCAGTTGTTGTACTTTTAATTTTCTGAGGAGTTTCTATACTGTCTCCCATATCGGCTGCCCTGATTTACATCCCATAACAGGGCGCAGAGGATCCCTCTCCTCCAAATCCTCACCAACACTCGTTCCATGTGTCTTTTTGGGAGCCGCCGCTCTAGCAGGCGTGAGGGGAGCCTTGTGGTTTGGATTTGCATGTCCCTGATGATGAATGATGATGAGCACCTTTTCCTAGACCTGCTGGCCATTCACATGTCTTCATCTGAGATGAAGCGTTCTCATAGCTGTTGAACTTGGACAATAATTGATGCCTGGAGAGTATCACTCAGTGGCTCCTGCCTAATAAAGCTAGGTTTAGCAATTAACTTTGAAAAACCTTATTATTGTATGAACCCACTTTAAAATATCATAGAGCACTAGACTTTAAATCTGTCTTCTGGGATGAGACTAAGAATAGAGAAACCCTTAGAGAGAGAAGGTAGATTAGTGATTTCCAGAGGCTGGGGTGGGTGGGCAGGGGGTGATTACTGATAGAGACGGGGTTCCTTTTGGGGTGATGAGATAATTCTGGAACTAGACGGTGGTGATGGTTGCACAGCATGGTACATGTCTTAGTGCCATGAAATTGTGCACTTGAAGAGGGTAAAAATGATGAAATGTATGAATGTGCATTTTACCAAAATAACAAAATATCTGTGGGAGCTTAATCCTCATAAGATTCTTTAGTGCTGTCCTTTCCCTGGAGCAAGTAAATGTTCTGGGGTGAACAAGAATATATGTTGGGGGAAAATATTACGTTCTAACTCTTTTTCTCTATCTTTTTGCATAACTATGACTAAGGGCTTTGCTTTGGATCTTGTCCTGATGAGAAAACATAAAGGGCTTACTTTATTGTTACATCAGATTTTAGGAGCTTCACTTAACTGTCCTATTTAATTTATAGTCAAGAACCATGTTGTTCCAATTGACAGGAAAACTGATTCAACCTCTGCACAGTGATTTCCTACAAATCAGAATCCAGGGGGCATTAAGATTTTAAACCACAATATGTAGTCAAGTATAGACACTGGAAGATTTCCACTGTGTTGAATTCGATGCTGCTGAAGAAGTGGCATCCAGGATGAGGGATTTTGAAGGGAGGGGCGGATGGAGTAGAAACTTAAACTAATCAGGCTCATGCTTTTTCCCCCCTAGACTTCTGAACGAACAGTGAATCTGTTACTGAGGAAAACCAGAGGAAGCCTGTGTAGATAGGTATCAATTAGATACCAGCTACTGGAAGAGCTTTCTCAGAGACTGATTAAAAAATTCTTCACTAGATATGGCTGCAAATTGCACATCCTCATGGCGTCAGAGAGAACCCTGCAACAGACCTGGGTTGGAGCTGCCACGGTCTATGGCATCCTCAGAAACTCAACTTGGAAATCACGACATGGACCCTGAGATTTCTCACGTGAACTTCAGGATGTTCACCTGCCCGAAGGAGTCAGACCCCATCCAGGCTCTGAGGAAACTCACTGAGCTGTGCCATCTGTGGCTGAGGCCCGACCTCCACACCAAAGAGCAGATCCTGGACATGCTGGTGATGGAGCAGTTCATGATCTCCATGCCCCAGGAGCTCCAGGTCTTAGTCATGATGAATGGCGTGCAGAGCTGCAAAGACCTGGAGGACCTGCTGCGAAATAACAGAAGACCCAAGAAATGGGTGAGTGGGACCCTCCTGATTGGCTCAGGGAAGGGGAGCTGGGATGGGGGCTGCACGGTGTACCTGGACTGGAGAGGACCCGAGGGGCTGCTCTAGGTCAGGGCTTCCAAGTAGAGGAGAGTTTGCACATCAGGGGCACATGGCAGTGTCTGGGGACAGTTTTTGGTTGTCACAACGGGGAGGACAGGAGATGTTGCTAAGCATTCTCCAAAGCTCAGGACAACCCCCCTGACAAATAATCATCCAGATTCAAATATCAGCTGTGCTGAGATGGCCAATTCCTAGCCTAGAAGATGGACAGGCAGAGGGGATACAGGGATCTACACACTGTGTGAGGCCAACATGGAAGAAAGACGTTGGTAAAATATTACACCTGATGGAATGTAGGGAAGGAGGCATTAGGGTGAACTGAAGGGGGGCCCAAAAGTCCCATCCTGAGGCAAGGAAAGTGGTTGGTATCAGAGATCCAGGGATCTGCCTCTAGGTCCCCACATGAGCCCCTAAGTTCCAACACAAGGTGAGCTGCCATTGGCCAGTTGAGTTGGATTCACCCAGAATATTTCTCCTTCTCTTCTCTTTGGTTTAGAGACTCTTTCATCTAAAGGACCCATATTTGTGTACTTATCTAGAAAATTCCAGGTGCAGGCAGGTGCTGGAGTCCAGAGAGGAGAAAATTCAGACAGGATTGCTGTGTCCACAGAGCTGACTCTGCATCGGGAAGGCAGATTTGAACATTAATTACAGTAAAGTTTGAGCATTATGGCAGGACCCAGGGAATATAAGAGCTACTTTCAGGTTCTCATAGTGAGTCTGATTTTTTTCTCTCTCTCTACAGTCTGTAGTCACCTTCCACGGAAAGGAATATATTGTACAGGACTCAGATGTTGAGATGGCTGAAGGCCCTGCCAGTGTCAGGGATGATCCGAGGGACATGTCCAGCCAGCGGGCCTCCTCTGTGAACCAGACGCATCCGGGGGAAGGCCAGGCCCGCCGAGAGCTGCAGACCCTGCCCAGGGTCCCTGCACTGTTCAGGAGGCAGGTGAGTGTGTGAGGTCTTGGTGTCTGGGCAGAGGTGCGAGAAGGATCAGGAAGAAATCGTGTGTCCACTGGACTGATTGACAAATTTAGCACAGGAGAAAATTAGAACCATTCCCCATGGAGATGGTACATCCCCAGACATTCATTCCTGAACCATCACAGAGAGGGAAGCCTCATCTACTTTTCTGTCCACCATGAGAGCTTTTAGCATTTAGGGTGGGGGGTAAGAAATGGTCTCAGTGAAGTGAGGGAGGCAGTTGGCACAGATAGATGAACTGAAGATCCCTTCCCCATAGCCAGTTACCTCAAAGACATTCCATGTAACAAATCAGCAAGGAAACCATTTGCTACCGATTGTCAATTTCTTAATTTAAGGAATGTTTCTCAGCTGGGGTGATTATGCCTTTCCGGACACATGGCCATGTCTGGAGACGTTCTTGTTTGGCATTCTCGGGGGTGGTGGGGTGTTAGTAGCATCTAGAGGGTGGAGGCAGGGCCTCTGCTCTGCACAGGAGCGCCCCCTCCAGGAGGGTGATGCAGCCCCAATGCCAATGGTGCCAGGGCTGAGCGGCCTCCACCTAGAGTCATGCTCCTTCCAGCCTCAGGGGCAGGGAGACGTTGGCACAGCGGGAAGAAATATGCTCAGAGAACCAAAGAGTGAAAACCACCAGGCACAGGAGCTGATTTAGAATATGGAGGGTGCAGATTAGGGACAGACTCAGACGTGAGGTGGTGATGTTTACTTGGGGTGATGGGGTGGTCCATAGGAAGTCTGGTGTATCCAATGAGGAGGGGACAGACATGTCTGTGCTTCCACCGGTGTAGACACGGAGTCATTGCCCTTGGTTTTTCATCTTCAGGGAGAGGACTATCTGCTACACAAGAGTATTGACGTAAAAGGTGACCCAAAGTCTCCGGGACCCAAGCTGACCTTGGAGAAGGATCTGAAGGAAAACAGGGAAGAGAACCCAGGACTTACATCCCCAGAGCCTCAGCTTCCAAAGCGTCCCAGTGAGTATGAAGACTTGGATCCACAGGAGTTAGCCCCTCTCTTCTGGGGTGCAGGGCTGGGGGCCCAGCATTATCATCCCTTGGGGAAGTTGGCACTCAGCTGCCAAAGCCTCCCCATCCTCCACTTGCCAGAGACCTGTGGTCCAATGTCTTAGGCTTGAGGTTGAGGGGAAGTTGTCAGCCAACATCAGTGTTTGGTTGCAATGAGTTTGGTGTATTGAAAATGCGCTTTATTAACTGTTGTGTGTGGAATCCCTTCTTCCAGCAGATCTGGTGAGAGCAAAGGAGGAGAAGGAACCCCCAAAAATAGCCGCTGTGGAAAATGTGGATGCCGACACACCTTCTGCCTGCGTTGTGGAGAGAGAAGCTTCGACTCACAGAGGGAACAGAGGAGACACTCCGAATCTCAGAGGTCCCAAAAGAAGCAAACGGGATGCCTCCTCCATTTCCCAAGAAGAACCTCAAGGAGGAGCCACACCTGTGGGCAACAGAGAATCCCCGGGACAAGCTGGGATGAATTCAATTCATTCCCCAGGCCCTGCGAGCCCAGTCAGTCACCCCGATGGCCAAGAAGCCAAGGCACTGCCGCCCTTTGCATGTGACGTGTGCGATAAGAGGTTTACCTGTAATTCCAAGCTAGTCATCCACAAGAGATCACACACCGGAGAGAGACTCTTTCAATGTAATCTCTGTGGGAAGCGTTTCATGCAGCTCATTAGCCTCCAATTTCACCAGCGAACCCACACCGGCGAGAGGCCCTACACGTGTGACGTCTGCCAGAAGCAGTTCACCCAGAAGTCCTACCTGAAGTGTCACAAGAGAAGCCACACAGGGGAGAAGCCCTTCGAATGTAAAGACTGCAAGAAGGTTTTCACCTACAGGGGGAGCCTGAAGGAGCACCAGCGCACCCACTCCGGAGAGAAACCCTATAAATGCTCCAAGTGTCCAAGAGCCTTCGGTCGGCTGAAATTGTTAAGACGCCACCAGAAAACACATCCAGAAGCCACTTCTCATTGATTGCATAATCTGGTCTATGCCTTCTGCACCAAGAAGAAGTGAATGATGATTTTTCACTGATGTTACCAGAGTACATTTGACACGTGCAAGGGCGCCTGGCACACAGAGGGAGTGCCCTAGATATGAATTGCCATGATGTTTGAGTAAATATGTATCCTCCCCACTGAGCTTTGTTTTCTGTTTCATTATGTCCATTGTTTTCCTATAGGTTTATTTTGGTTTCTGTTGCTGTTCTTTCAATAAACGATCATCTTATTAGTTTTCAATATTGTATAACAAAAAACTGAGTTTCCTGATTGGCATGGGGTTACCCACTGTTTTGTTGTAAAGTAAAATTGTCCAAGGAGGGTGGCCATATAAAATACATAATGCCTGGTGAAATTTGAGTTTCAGATAAACAATTTTCTTTAGTATCAGCATGTTCTAAATTATTCGTTATCTGAAACTCAGCTTTTATTGGGTATCCTGTAGAGTTTTCGTTTTCTTTTTTTCTTTTTCTTTTCTTTTTTTTTTTTTTTTTTTTGAGATGGCGTCTCCCTCTGTCACCCAGGCTGAGGTTCAGTGGCGCAATCACCGCTCACTGCAGCCACAACCTTCCAGGCTCAAGCAATCCTCCTGTCTAAGCCTCCCGAGCAGCTGAGACTACAGGAGCATGCCACCAACTTAGCTAATTATTGTGTTTTTTTGTAGAGATGGAGTTTTGCCATGTTGCCCGGGCTGGTCTTGAACTCATAAGTACAAGTGATCCATCTGCCTTGGCTTCTTTAAGTGCTGGTATTACAGGCATGAGCCACTGTACCCTGTATTGTTTTTATTAGACTTTAATATAATTATTATATTCAAATTTTTGGAAATAATTTTTTGTAGTGATGGGATTTCTTGTTGCCCAGGCTGGTGTGGTGTGAGCCACCACACCTGGCTCTAGACTTTCTTTTTCAGAGCTGTTTTAGGTTCACAGGGAAATTCAGTGGACAGCACAGATTTCCCCTAGACTCCCTCCCCACACGGCACAGCCTCTCCCCGCCCAGCATCCCCAGCAGAGCGGTGCACCTGTTCCATCAGTGAGCCTGCCCAGACACATCACCAGCACCCAGAGTCCATGGTGTCCATTAGGGCTCACTCTGTGTGTTGTACATCCTGTGGGTTTGGACAAAGGCCTCATGAGGATCCACCACTGGAGTATCATGGGGCATATTTTCACTGCCCCCTGAATCCTCTCTGCTCTGCCTGTGTATCTCCCTGCCCCAGATGGTGTATTTTGTGGCCTAAAGCTGGCAATTTCTAAATCCCCAATGTGACTCTTGGACTACAGAGGCATTCGGAGTCTCTGGGGACTAGTTGGTCTTAGTGATATTCCCATCCCCTGAAGGCGTGGTTAATCCACAGGTGGGTGGGCCCCAAATTCAGAGTTTCTGATTGAGTAGACCAGGGATGGGGCCTGAGAGTGTGCATTAAAACATAGGATTCATTTTAGAATAGCTTTCTAAAGTCCATAGAGCTCCCTAATGCCCCACGCCATTTCCCCCATTGCTGACTGATTCATTAGTATGGCACATTTGCCACAAGCGATGAACTGACTGAATACATTGCCGTGATCTAAGGGCCATACTTAGTGTTTTTTTATTGAGGCCTCCTTAGTGTTTACACAATGCCCTCCTCTTCCTTCCTCCCCATCCAGGACACCACATCGCCTTGAGTCGTCACGTCTCCCTAGGATCCTCTTGGTGACAATTTCTCAGGTTTTACTTGTTTGGGATCACCTGAGAATGTGCATTTTAGGTGGTGCTGATGCTGCTGGTCTTGGGAGGACATTTTATGGATGGCTGGTTGAACTGACAGGCGGAGTCCTGCAATCTGCAGAGGTCTGGAAAGGTCCCTTCCCGAATAGGCTGGATTCATTTATTAAAGGCCACTTTTGTAAGACTTTGGTTCTTGTCATTTTAATTTAAAGGAATTTAAACAAGAGATACACAGCAAAGAGATGCAGCATAGAGCAACTGATTGCAAAGGAAATAGGGCATTTTGAAAGTTAAGTGCGGAATAGACAGGACATGCTGGGAGCAAGGATTCAGGGCTGGCTGCTCCTGAGGATGAGACAGCGAAGACCTGCTGTCTTTATGGGAGTCTCGGATGACTACACCTAGTGGGGTGGGACGAGGTGTTACTAGTAAGCACGTTCGGGGTGGTCCTCTGGGCGCACAGGTGCAGTAGCTGTGCACACGTCTCATTAGCGTCTTTAGTCTCCACCCAGGGGTGTGGTTTTTACTATCATAACAAGCAAAGTGTCAGTGTGTGGATGGGTAAGATCAAAGTGTGCAGGCTCTCAGAAATTCCTTACAGGAGATGGCTTTGCTTGAATGAACTCAAATCCAGTGTGAACGCTGAGGCTTATTTTGTTCACTGTATAGTCACCACGCGTGCAGCATCCTAAGGACGTGGTCATTTCCTTGACTGCCTATCCTGCCTCACCCAGGTCCCTTTCAGAGTAGCATTCTTTGAGGCAGGGGCCTAGAATCCACCATAAAATGTACATGGACTCCCCTTTCATTCAAGAAGTGGAGGTAGGCGTGGGTGGTGGTTCTCTCTTTTGGTGATTGGGTTCGACCTTCTTCACCAGATGTAGAAAATGTTTTGATGATACTACCTGCCCATTTAATTTCAATCATGGTGCTCTATGATGCATTAATGACTTCCAATGTTTCTTTAGAGCTTCGTTTTCTAATTTGGCTACATGTTGGAGTCACTTGAAGAGTTTTTTATATTTTTTTTAAAAAAGCAATGCCTGGGGTCCAGCCCTAAGATTGGCTGAGGATGTGGCCCCTGTGTTGAGAGTTTATAAAACTCCCCAGGTGATCTAACATGTGGCTGAGGTCTGGCAGGCCGATTTTCTGATTGCCTGGACACTCCAATTCCTGTCCTCTCATGGGGATGAGTGAGGACAGGATCATGCACCTCTATTCCCAGTCTAAAGACGGTAGACTCAGGCGCAGTGGCTCATGCCTGTAATCCCAGCACTTTGGGAGGCCAGGGCGGGTGGATCACGAGGTCAAGAGATCGAGACCATCCTGGCCAACATGGTGAAACCCCGTCTCTACTAAAAATACAAAAACTAGCCAGGTGTGGTGGTGTGTACCTGTAGTCCCAGCTATGCAGGAGGCTGAGGAAGGAGAATCACTTGAACCCAGGAGGCGGAGGTTGCAGTGAGCCGAGATCACACCGCTGTACTCCAGCCTGGTAACAGAGCAAGACTCTGTCAAAAAAAAAAAAAGAAAGAAAGAAAATAAGAAGGTAGACTGCACTGACCAACCCTGGATGGGTGTCTCTCCTGCCATATCTGGCTGCCTGAACCACTCCAGGGACTGCCCCTCATGGCTAAGGGCACACCTGACCTCGGGCTGCCTTCGTACTACTGCTCCTCAGCCGCCTACGTGCTCTGGTGGATGCTCCAAGCCAAGATACCCACTGCAACCCCAAAAAGCCATGTGCTAGAGATGACTTTGAGTTGAATTTAGAAGGTGCCTTTTTTGGCAGAGAAACAACAATGCAGCACTGCCTAATCCTCCCAAGCTGGAGCTAAATCTGCACCAGCCAACCTGGCCCACCTGGTGGCTTTCAGACTCCGACCTTGCTGATGGGACATCAGGTGGGGAGGGAGGCTGTGGCACGGCCATGGGAAGAAGAATTTCGAAGCCTTCGCTAGTCTCCGCGTGGCCCGTGCCAACGCCCGGCTCTTCGGCATCCCGGCAAAAAAGAGCCAAGGAAGCTGCAGAACAAGACGTTGAAAAGGAAAAATAAAGCCCTCCTGGGAACTTGCAATCAGTCAGCAGTTATGCTGGGTCTCCATGTGATGTGTTTCCCAGGAGCAGCGGGGCCTGGGATGGGGCTTCGTGGCTGTGACTTCCTGGCAGGGCGTTTGGGGTTTTCTTGAAAGACAGTCCAAGCCCTGGATTGTGCCTTACTTTCGTGTTAAAGCACTGTTGGTCGTTTTTGTTTTCTTTTGTTTTTGTTTTTGTTTTTTAAGAAAGAAAAAGAAAAGTAGAGGGATTTGCCCCGCACGGTGGCTCACGCCTGTAATCCTATCACTTTGGGAGGCCGAGGCGGGTGGATTGCCTGAGCTCAGGATGTTCAAGACCAGCCTGGGCAACACAGTGAAACCCTCCCTGTCTCTACTAAAATACACAAATTAGCCAGGCGTGGCAGCGGGCGCCTGTAATCCCGGCTCCTTGGGAGGCTGAGGCAGGAGAATGGCATGAACCTGGGAGGTGGAGCTTGCAGTGACCCAAGGTCGCACCACTACACTCCAGCCTGGGCGACAGAGCAAGACTCCGTCTCAAATAAATAAATAAATTAATTAATTAATTAAAATAAACGTAGAGGGATTCCGTGTGGGTAAATTAATTAATTAATTAATTAAAATAAACGTGGAGGGATTCCGTGTGGGTGAGTATGCTTCAAGTTGGTTTGGCACAAGAGCTTTCTAGCCATTCCTTATCTGTTTAGAAGTGGCTGATCCACCCAGCGCCAGGACGGCTCATCAAACAATGGAACCATTTACCCTTATGGTGCACAACTGTAAGAGCCAATCATCTCCAGGTGCCAAGTATGTCCTCTCATTTCATTCTCAATACAATAACGGGCGGAGGGCGGGGACCGTTTCAAAGACAAAACGTGGATACCGTTTTTACACACAACGATGTTTGCACAAAATGATTGAAATGACTTGGTTTTCACAATTATCCAAAGCTAAATGGAAACAAGCATAAATCTCAACTCAAGCCTGCCAAGTCCCATCCTGTAGGCACATGTGAAACGTGAAAACTTGACCCGTTGTACTAGTAGGTGGAGCTGCCGCTATTTGAATTGTTGAATTGGTCTGACAGGTAGAATTGGGTTGACGTTGCCGACTCCTAAAATTAGAATCTAGACATTGCAGGTACCTCACTCACAGCTCCAGCGAATGCCTCTGCCTTCACAGAGTAGCTTTCTGACTTCTATTTAACATTTTCTCAGAAGATACCTTGAAAATAGCCCATAGCGCCGAATGCGGTAGCTCATGCCTATAATCTCAGCACTCTGAAAAGCTGAGGCAGGTGGGTAGGTTGGGCTCAGGAGTTAAAGACCAGCCTGGGCAACATGATGAAACCCCATCTCTACAAAAACATACAAAAAGAAAAAAAAAAAAGGCTGGGCACGGTGGCTCACACCTGTAATCCCAGCACTTTGGGAGGCCAAGGCGGGCGGATCACGAGGTCAGTAGTTCGAGACCAGCCTGGCCGATATGGTGAACCCTGTCTCTACTAAAAATTCAAAAAGTAGCCGGGCATGGTGGCACGTGACTGTAATCCCAGCTACTCAGGAGGCTGAGGCGGGAGAATTGCTTGAACCCAGAAGGCGTAGGATGCAGTGAGCTGAGATCGTGCCATTGCACTCCAGCCTGGGCAGCAGGGGGAAACTCCTGTCTCAAAAAAAAAAAAAAAAAGAAAGAAAGAAAATTCTGTTAGCAATTTTCAGACATGCAATACGTTGCTAATGGCTGCAGTCTCCATGCTGTACAATAGATTTCTTAAACACTTTTCCTGTCTAACTGAAATTTTGTATCCTTTGACCAACATCTCTGCTATTTCCCCAGTCTCCTGCCTCCCTCAGCCTAGGTTACCAGAAGCTTGAGAGTTCTAGGCTGAGGACCTGATTTAGAGATCCTCAGTTGGAGAAAGTTTTACGACACCATATACAGCCTGATGCCAGGAGCACCCACCTCAAGCTAGAGGTATGGGTCTTATGTATCTGCACGGAAACAGACTCATACTGTAGGGTTAGCTGTCTATTTATTGGACCAGAAACCTTTTGAAGGCAAGGACTGTACTCTGTACCTCTTTTTATCTTTTTTTTTTTTTTTTCCTGAGACAGTCTCGCTCTGTCCCCCAGGCTGGAGTGCAACCTCTGCCTCCTGGCTCCAAGCGATTCTCCTGCCTCAGCCTCCTGAGTAGCTGGGATTACATGCATGTGTCACCACGCCCAGCTAAGTTTGGTATTTTTAGTACAGATAGGGTTTCACCATGTTGGGCAGGCTGGTCTCGAACTCCTGACCTCGTAATCCGCCCGCCTTGGCCTCCCAAAGTGCTGGGATTACAAACATGAGCCACCGCGCCCGGCCTATCCTCTTTTTATCTTAAACTCTCATTGTGATTGGTAAGCTGAACTTCAATTAAGCAGATAATACAGATAACCTGGCCCCACTCTTCTTTTCCTGCCTTAGCATTGGTTCTTTATTCTGCAAGTTTTATGAGAACAAAGACTTTGTCCTACTAATTTTTTCATACTTTTTTCTTTTTTATCTTTCTCTTTATTCTGACACATTACGGCTTTAAATACATTTCTTTTTTCTTCTTCTTCTTTTTTTTTTTTTTTTTTTTTTGAGACGGAGTCTCACTCTGTCGCCCAGGCTGGAGTGCAATGGCGTGATCTTGGCTCACTGCAAGCTCCCCCTCCCAGGTTCAAGCGATTCTCCTGCCTCAGCCTCCCAAGTAGTTGGGATTACAGGCGTGAGCCACCACGCCCAGCTGCACTGGGCTTTTTTGAGGTTGCAGTGGGTATCTTGTTTTCATCGTCAGTCAGGACATCAGTTAAATCAAGCTCTTAGCTCAGAGCACATAGGTGGATAAGGAGCAGCAGTGCAAAGGCCACCCAGTGCCAGGTACATCCTTAGCCATGAGGGGCAGTCCCTAGAGTGGTGCTGCAGCCAGCCACAGCAGGAGGGATCCCTGTCCAGGACGGGTAGGAGCCAGCAGTGGAGTCTACCTTCTTTAGACTGGGAATGGAGGTGCATGACCCCGCCATGGAAATGAACTCACTCATTCCCATGAGAGAACAGGAATTGGAGTGACCAGACAATCAGAAAACTGACCTGCCAGACTCAGTCACACGTTCGATCACCTGGGGAGTTTTATAAACTCTCAACACAGGGGCCACATCCTCAGCCAATCACATCATTGCCTCAGGGTTGGACCCCAGGCATTGCTTTTTAAAAAATATTGAAAAAACTCCTCAAGTGACTCCAACATGTAGAAAAATTGGAAAATGAAGCTCTAAAGAAATGTCGGATGTGGTGAATGGATCATAGAGAACCATGATTTAAATTAAATGGGCAGGTTGTATCAGCAACACATTTTCTGTGTCTGGAGAAGGATGTTGGACTCAATCATCTAAACGGAGAACCACTACCCACCCAACGTCCACTTCTTGAATTAAACGGGAGTCTGTGTACATTCGATGGTAGACTCAAGTTTCTACCTCAAGGAATCTTTCTCCTAAAGGGACCTGGGTGAGGCAGGATAGGTAGTCAAGAAGGTGACCGTGTCCTCCAAACACAGCGCCGGCGGGGACCGTACAGCCAACACAATAAGCCCCAGCCTTCACTTTCTAATTGAATTCATTCGCACAAAGCCATCTGCAAAAGAGAGTTTCCCTGTAGAGAGCATGAGCATTTTGATTTTACCTGTTCACAAACTGACCCTTTGCTCATTATAGTAGTAAAAATACACCCCTGGATGGAGACTTAAGATCCTAAAGAGACATGTGCACAGCTACGCCCCCCTGTGTGCCCAGAGGACCACCCAGAACAAGCTTACTAGTAATGTAGCAGGACACGCCGCAGACAAAACTCCTCAGACACCGGATTAAAGAAGGAAGAGCTTTTTTATTTGGCTGGGAGCATCGGCAGACTCGCGTCTTAAGAGCCAAGCTCCCGGAAAAAGAAATTCTTGGCCTTTTTAAAGACTTACAACTCTAAGGGGTCCACGTGAAAGGGTTGTGACAAATCGAGCGAGCATGGGAAACGTGACTGGGGGCTACATGCATCAGCTAACAGAACAGAAAGTTTTACAATGCTTTTTTCATACAGTGTCTGGAATTTACAGATAACACAAGTAGTTTAGGTCAAGGGTTGATGTAATAATTATTATTACTTTTTTTTAACTCCTAGGGCCGGGTGGCAGTGCCAAGGTTGTCTGGCTATTTATCTTACTATTGTTTCTTTATAACTTTTTGTTCTCTCTCTTTCCCCCTGTCTTGTGAACTAGGCAAGGTGGGGGGAGGAGGACGGCAGTAGGGGTAGTGGTCTCCTTCCTTAGTAACACCTCTTCCCACCCCCTTGTGTGTGATCATCCGAGACTCCCATAAAGAGGAGTCTCCCTTGAGCAGGTCTTTGCTGTCTCATCCTCAGGAGCAGCCAGCCCTGAATCCTTGCTCCCAGCATGTCCTGTCTATTCCGCACTTAACTTTCAAAATACCCTATTTCCTTTGCAATCAGTTGCTCTATGCTGCATCTCTTTGCTGTGTGTCTCTTGATGAAATTCCTTTAAATTAAGATGACAAGAACCAAAGTCTTAAAAAAGTAGCCTTTAATAAATGAATCCAGCCCCACCCCCAGCCTACTAAATCAGAAGCTCTGAGTTTGGGGCCCACCCATCTCTGGATCAACAAAGCCTTCAGGATATGGTACTATCACTAAGACCAACTGGTCCCCAGAGACTCCCAATGCCTATGTAGTCCAAGAGTCAAATCAGGAATTTAGAGATTGCCAAATTTAGACCAAAAAATACACAATCCAGGCCAGCAACATAAATAGGCACAGCAGAGAAGATTCGAGGGGCAGTGAAAATAGCCCCCATGATACTCCAATGGTGGATACTCATGAGGCCTTTGTCCAAACCCACAGGATGTACGACACACAGAGCGAGCCCTAATGGACACCATGGACTCTGGGTGCTGGTGATGTGTCTGGGCAGGCTCACTGATGGAACAGATGCACCGCTCTGCTGGGGCTGCTGGGCGGGGAGAGGCTGTGCTGTGTGGGGAGGGAGTCTAGGGGAACTCTGTGCTGTCCACTGAATTTCCCTGTGAACCTAAAACAGCTCTGAAAAAGAAAGTCTAGAGCCAGGTGTGGTGGCTCACACCACACCAGCCTGGGCAACAAAAAATCCCATCACTACAAAAAAATTTCAAAAAATTTGAATATCATAATTATAATAAAGTCTAATAAAAACTATACAGGGCACAGCAGCTCATGCCTGTAATGCCAGCATTTAAGGAGGCCAAGGCAGGTGGATCACCTGTACTCAGGAGTTCAAGACCACCCTGGGCAACAAGGCAAATCTTCATCTCCACAAAAAACACGAAAATTAGCCGAAGTGGTGGTATGATCCTGCAGTCCCAGCTACTTGGGAGGCTTAGACGGGAGGATTGCTTGAGCCTGGAAGGTCACGGCTGCAGTGGGCGATGATCCTGCTACTGCAATCCAGCCTGGTTGAGAGAGGGAGACCCCATCTCAAAAAAAAAAGAATAGGGGAAAAAAAAAAAAAGAAAACTGTTTAGGATACCCAATAAAAGCTGAGTTTGAGAAGAATAACGAATAATTTAGAACATGGTGATACCAAAAAAAATGTTTTATCTGAAACCCACATTTTCCCAGGCATATTGTGTATTTCATCTGGACACCCTCCTTGGACAATTGTACTTTACAGCAAAACAGTGGGTAACAGCATGTCCCTCAGGAGACTCCGTTTTTTTTTACAAAATATTGAAAACTAATAAGATGTTTGTTTATTGAAAGAACAGCAACACAAACCAAAATAAGCCTATAACAATAGACATAATAAAACAAAAACCAGAATTCACTGGGGAGGAAAAAAATTTAAACAAACATCCTGGGAATTCCTGTCTAGGGCACCTCTGTGTGTGCCAGGCGCCCTTCGTGTGTCAGATGTCATCTGATAACATCGGTGAGAAGTCATCATTCACATTTTCTTGGTGCAGAAGATGCAGACCCGATGACGAGGTCACTGTGAAGTGGTTTCCGGATGTGTTTTCTGGTGGCGTCTCAAGGTTGCAGGCCGACCGAAGGCTCTTGAACACTTGGGACATATGTAAGGTCTCTCTCCGGAGTGGGTGCGCTGGTGCTCCTTCAGATTCGCCTTGTAGGTGAAAACTTTCTTGCAGTCTTTACATTCGAAGGGCTTCTCCCCTGTGTGGCTTCTCCTGTGACACTTCAGGTAGGACTTCTGGGTGAACTGCTTCCAGCAGATGTCACACGCGTAGGGCCTCTCGCCGGTGTGGGTTCGCTGGTGAAATTCGAGGCCTATGCGCTGCCTGAAACGCTTCCCACAGAGATTACATTGAAAGGGTCTCTCTCCGGTGTGTGATTTCTTGTGGGTGGCTAGCTTGCTGTGATATTTAAACCTCTTACTGCACACCTCACATGCAAAGGGCAGCAGTTCCCTAACTCCTTGGCCATCGGGGTGAATGACCAGGCCCGCAGGGTCCAGGGAATGAACTGGATTGATCTCAGCTTGTCCCGGGGATTCTCTGTTGCCCACAGGTGTGGCTCCTCCTTGAGGCCCTTCTTGGGAAATGGAGGTGGCATCTGGTTTGCTTCTTTTGGGGCCTCTGAGATTCGGAGCCTCTCCTCTGTTCCTGCTGTGAGTCGAAGCTTCTCTCTCCACAGCGCAGGCAGAAGGTGTGTCGGCATCCACATTTTCCACAAAGGCTCTTTTTGGGGATTCCTTCTCCTCCTTTGCTCTCACCAGATCTGCTGGAAGAAGGGATTCCACACACAACAGTTAATAAAGTGCATTTTCAATACACCAAACTCATTGCAACCAAACACTGACCTTGTGTGAAAACTTCCCCTCAAGTTCAAGCTTAAGACATTGGACCGTAGGTCTCTGGAGAGTGGGGGGTGGAGAGGCTTTGGCAGCTGAGTGCCAGCTCCCCCAGACATGATAACGCTGGGACCCCACTCCTGCACGCCAGAAGAGAGGGGCTATCTCCACACAGGTCTAAGTCTTCATACTTACTAGGACCATTTGGAAGCTGAGGCTCTGGGGATGTAAGTCCTGGTTTCTCCTCCCTGTCTTCCTCCAGGTCCTTCTTCAAGGTCGGCTTGGGGCTCAGAGCCTTTGGGTCACCTTTCATGACGTTAGTCTCTGGAAGCAGGAAGTCCTCTTCCTGACAATGAAAAACCAAGAGCAATGACTCCATGTCTAAACTGGGGGAAGTTTAGGCATCTCTGCCTTTTCCTGATTGAATGCACCAACATTCAAAACCACCACACCAATGATACAGGTGTGGTGGTTTTCACTCTTTGGTTCTCTGAGCATATTTCTTCCTGCCCTGCCAACGTCTCCCTGCCCCTGAGGCTGGAAGGAACATGACTCTAGGTGGAGACCCCTCAGCCCTGGCACCACTGGCACTGGGGCTGCATCACCCTCCTGGAGGGGGCGCTCCTGTGCAGAGCAGAGACCCCGCCTCCACCCTCTAGATGCTACTAACACCCCATCACCCCCGCGAATGCCAAACAAAAGTGTCTCCAGACATGGTCATATGTCCGGAAAGGCAACGTCACCAGTTGAGAAACATTCCTCAAATTAAGAAATTGACAATCTGTAGAAAGTGGGTTCCTTGCTGAATTATTACATGAAATGTCTTTGAGGTAACTGGCTATGGGGAAGGGATCTTCATTCATCTGTGCCAACTGCCTCCCTCACTTCACTGAGATCATTTCTTACCCCCCCCCACCCTAAATGCTAAAAGCTCTCATGGTGGAGGGAAAAGTAGATGAGGTTTCCCTCTCTGAGATGGCTCAGGAATGAATGTCTGGGGATGTACCATGTCCATGGGGAATGGTTCTAATCTTGTCCTGTGCCAAATCTGTCAATCAGTCCAGCAGCCACACGACTTCCTCCCGTTCCTTCTCTCACCTCCACCCAGACATCAAGGCCTCACACACTCACCTGCCTCCTGGACGGTGCAGGGACCCTGGGCAGGATCTGCAGCTCTCGGTGGGCCTGGCCTTCCCATGGACGCATCTGGTTCACAGAGGAGGCCTGCTGGCTGGACACGTCTCTCGGATCATCCCAGACACTGGCGGGGCCTTCAGCCATCTTGACATCTGAGTCCTGAATGAGATATTCCTTGCCGAACAAGTTGACTACAAACTGTAGAGGGAAAAAAGACAATCAGACTCACCATGAGAACCTGAAAGTAGCTCTCATATTCCCTGGGTCCTGCCATAATGCTCACACTTGACTGTAATTAATGTTCAAATCTGCCTTCCCGATGCAGAGTCAGCTCTGTGGATACAGCAATCCTGTCTGAATTTTTTCCTCTCTAGACTCCAGCACATGCCTGCACCTGGAATTTTCTAGATAAGTACACAAATATGGGTCCTTTAGATGAAAGAGTCTAAACCAAAGAGAAGACAGGGAGAAATATTCTGGGTGAATCCAACCCAATTGGCTGATGGCAGCTCACCTTGTGTTAGAACTTAGGGGCTCATATGGGGACCTGGAGGCAGATCCCTGGATCTCTGATACCAACCACTTTCCCTGCCTCAGGATGGGACTTCTGGGCCCCCCTTCAGTTCACTCTAATGCCTCCTCCCCTACATTCCATCAGGTATTGTATTTTACCAACGTCTTTCTTTCATGTTGGCCTCACAGTGTGTGGGTCCCTGCATCCCCTCTGTCTGTCCATCGCCTACACCAGGAATTGGCCATCTCAGCACACCTGACATTTGAATATGGATGATTATTTGTCAGGGGGGTTGTCCTGAGCTTTGGAGAATGCTTAGCAGCATCTCCTGTCCTCCCCGTTGTGACAACCAAAAACTGTCCCCAGACACTGCCATGTGCCCCTGACGGGCAAACTCTCCTCTACTTGGAAGCCCCGACCTAGAGCAGCCCCTCGGGTCCTCTCCAGTCCAGGTGCACCGTGCAGCCCCCATCCCAGCTCCCCTTCCCTGAGCCAATCAGGAGGGTCCCACTCACCCATTTCTTGGGTCTTCTGTGGTTTCGTAGCAGGTCCTCCAGGTCTTTGCAGCTCTGCACGTCGTTCACCTTGACTAAGACCTGGAGCTCCTGGGGCATGGAGATCATGAACTGCTCCATCACCAGCATGTCCAGGATCTGCTCTTTGGTGTGGAGGTCGGGCCTCAGCCACAGATGGCACAGCTCAGTGAGTTTCCTCAGAGCCTGGATGGGGTCCGACTCCTCCGGGCAGCTGAACATCCTGAAGTTCACGTGAGAAATCTCAGGGTCCACGTCGTGATTTCCAAGTTGAGTTCCCAGGGATGCCATAGACCATGGAGTCTCTGACCTAGGTCTGTTGCAGGGTTCTCCCAGACCCCATGAGGATGTGCAATTTGCAGCCATATCTAGAGGAGAATATTTCAATCAGCCTCTGGGAAAACTCTTCCAGTAGCTGGTGTCTAATTGCGACCTATCTACACAGATCGCCCCTGGTTTTTCTCAGTAACAGATTCACTGTTCCTTCAGAAGTCTGCAGGGGAAAAAAGCATGAGCTCTATTAGTTGAAGTTTCTACTCTACCCACCCCTCCCTTCCAAATCCCTCATCCCAATCCCAGACCCCATTTCCTCTCTAGCATTGGACTCAGCACCATGGAAATGAATCCACTCTGTTCTTCTTCCAGTGTCTACACCTGACTACATGTTCTGGAGTAAAACCTGAATGCTCCCCTGGATCTGATCTCTAGGGGATCATTGTGCAAAGGCTGAATTGGTTTTCCTGCCCATCGAACAACATTGTTTTTGACTGTAAATCAAATAGGACAGTAATGTGAAGCGCCTAAAATCTGATGCAACAATCATGTCAATTATTTATGTTTTCTTATCAAGATAAGATCCAAGGCAAATCCTTAGTCATAATTATGCAATAAGACAAATAAAAATAGTTACAATGTAAGATTGTCCCCCAACAAACCTTCTTAACCCCAGAATTATTCGCTCCAGAGAAGGGACAGCACTAAAGAATCCTATGAGGATTAAGCACCTACACAGATATTTTGCTTTTTGGTAAAATGCACATTCATAAATTTCCTCATATTTATCTTCTCCAGGTGCACAATTTCATGGGACTAAGACATGCACCATGCTGTGCAACCATCACCACTGACTAGTTCCAGAATTATCTCATCGCCCCAAAAGGAACCCCATCCCCATCAGTGATCACCCCCTGCCCACCCACCCCAGCCCCTGGAAATCACTAATCTACCTTCTCTCTCTAAGGGTTTCTCTATTCTTCGGCTCATCCCAGAACACAGATTTAAAGTCTAGTGCTCCTTGATATTTTAAAGAAGTGGGTTCATACAATAATAAGGTTTTTCAAAGTTAATTGCTAAACCTAGCTTTATCAGGCAGGAGCCACTGGGTGATACTCTCCAGGCATCAATTAGTGTCCAAGTTCAACAGCTATGAGAACGCAGCCCTGCTGTCCTAGATACAGGCAGGGGGAGCAACCTGAAGGTCTGCAGAGAGGATAAAAAACTGCCAGGGGGGTCTCAGGAAAGGTCATTGGTAGCCTGGAGGACGAATACCCTACACTTCTTGGAAGGAATCTGAGCAAGTGCAGAACAGAGAGACAGGGAGACAATCAGCAGAGTGGGGGGACTACCCAGAGGAGGAGGCAATATTTACACACCACACATCTCACAAGAGGCTCCTGTGCAAAACATTAGCAACTCAAATGACTCCAAAGCGAGAAAACACATAACCCACTAGAAGGAGGGCAAGGTGCCTGTGTGGACATCTCAGATGAAGACATGTGAATGGCCAGCAGGTCCAGGAAAAGGCGTTCATCATCACTCATCTTCGGGGACATCAAACCACAAGGCACCCCTCACGCCTGCTAGAGTGGCTGTTCCCAAAAAGACACATGGAACGAGTGTTGGTGAGGATTTGGGGGAAAGGGATCCTCTGCGCCCTGTGTTGGGATGTAAATTAGAGCAGCTGATATGGGAGACAGTATAGAAGCTCCTCAGAAAATGAAAAGTGCAACAACTGCATGCTCCGGCAATCCTGCTCCTGGGCATGTACACAGAGGAAAGGGAATCAGGATGTGGGCTCCAAAACAGTGAAACTCTGGAGGGATGGAGGGAGGAAAGGTTGAAAAACTACCCACTGGTTGCTGGCCTCACGTCCTGCGTGACGGGATGAGTCATACCCCAAACCTCAGCATCACTCAATATACTTATGTAACCAATCTGCACAGGTACACCCCAAATTTAAAATAAAACTTGAAATTACAAAATAATTTTAAAAATAAAAGAAGTAAATAACATAAACAATAATTAAAAACCCAGTGGACTCAGGCGGAGCGCGGTGGCTCACGCCTGTAATCCCAGCACTTTAGGAGACCGAGGCAGGCGGATCACTTGAGGTCAGGAGTTCAAGACCAGCCTGACCAACATAGAGAAACCCCATCTCTACTAAAAATATAAAATTAGCCGGGTGTGGTGGCACATGCCTGTATTCCCAACTACTCGGGAGACTGAGGCAGGAGAATCGCTTCAACCCAGGAAGCAGTGGTTGCAGTAAGCAGAGATCGAGCCATTGCACTCCAGCCTGGGCAACAAGAGCAAAACTCTGTCTCCCAAAACAAACAAACAAACAAAAACCCAGTGGACTCATAGTAGCAGTGAGTAGAATGGTGGTTAACAGGGCCGGGGTGGGGGTTGGGGAGATATAGGTCTAAGGGTATGAATTTGAGTTGAAGAAAGCAATTCAAGAGAGCAATTGTTCAACACGGTGACTTCAGTCCATAACAATGTATTGTATAATTGGAAATCGCTAAAAGAGTAGATGAAAAGGCAGCTGGAAATTCTGGAATTAAAAGTGATTTTGCCAAGGGGCACCTGCTGCTGCTCAGGAGGATCACTCGAGCCCAGGAGTTTGAAAACCGCCTGGGCAACACAGTGAAAGCCTGTCTCTAAAAACAGACTTTGTATTCCTAGAAACCACTTTGTTCCTAGAAACCACTTGGTATTCGCTGTCAGTTCCTAGAAACCACTTTGTACTCGCTGTCAGTTCATTTCCCGTTAAAACAAGCAATGGGACACGGGAAAAAATAAAGGCAGGTACGCAGGTTAATATTCAATTCTGGGAGTATATAGCAAGGTGTCTGGGCAAATGCCTGGGAAAATGAACCCAAATCTTTCTGAAACCAAGGCCCCAACCCAAATCTTTCTGAAACCAACCCCCCAACCCAAGTCTTTCTGAAACCAACCCCCGCAGGCCAACTCCAAAACCCCACAGACATCCCCACTGGGCACTTACCTCTGTCCCAGCTTCTGCCTCCAACCTCCTCTCTTCTGGGATGTACCCTCCAACTGGTCTGTCTGGAGCTGAACTGTGTCTATTTATAGAGAACCCGCGGGACTCCGGGCCTCTCTTCCAGTCCCCTGGGCCCCCACATGATTGGGTTAGGGCCATAGAATCCTTTGAAGGGGATCAGCATTGATTACATTTCTCATTGAAACCCCACCCACAGGAAATTAATGTATTAAAATGCCTACCGTGCAAATAACATAGGTTTTCCCGCTCTACTGAATTACAGTTCATATTTCTGAAATATTTGGAGGCTTCAGGGACTATAGATCTGCAAGTTTTCACCACTTTTGGGTCCCCTCAGGGCACAGACAGTGATATCCTAATGAGTAAAGGACGTGTTAAGAGTGGGTTGAATAATATCAAGCCAGTGATTTGCTCTAGTTTGAGGAAAGCTTTCACTTGTGAATGTCAAGATATTGAAGAAAAAGGACAGTCATTGTTGATACGTAATGAATCGTAGTGATAAGTTTTTACTTTTCAAAATCTGGGAATTGACATGGGAAAACTGCTTGAACTAGGCTAAATCACTGCTTTGATATCAGCCAACCTACCCTTAGGTAAAAACAGTGGGAACCAGAGAAAGGCACATGGTCCCCTCTCTGCATTCACTTTAGGATGGTAGGAGCTGGTTTATGGACACACAGAGGGCTCCCTAATTCTCAACCCCCTCAGTGAGGCCTCTCGAGCAAGAAAAGCCTTAATGGTGGGTGTGAATTTTACTGTGTGGATCATGGAGTCCATGTGGAATGACAATTAAGTACACTTTATACTGATTCTGGTTTCAATCCTTGGGAAATCTTAAGCTGCTGAATTCCGGAAACTTCAAACTCCCTGTGACTAGCACCAGGGAATTATTACCTTCCTGATGTGTTGTTTTGAAGATGAAATAAGATTATCTTGGCCGGACGTGGGGGCTTATGCCTGTAATCCCAGCACTTTGGGATGCCGCGGCGGGCAGATCACAAGGTCAGGAGTTCGAGACCAGCCTGACCGACATGGAGAAACCCCATCTCTACTAAAAATGCAAAATTAACCAGGCATGATGGCACATGCCTGTAATCCCAGCTACTCGGGAGGCTGAGGCAGGAGAATCACTTGAACCCGGGAGGCAGAGGTTACGGTGAGCCGAGATCGCACCATTGCACTACAGCCTGAGCAACAAGAGTGAAACTCCGTCTCAAAAGCAAAAAAATAAATAAATAAATCAACAAAACAAAACAAAACAAAAAAAGATTATGTCAGTAAAGTGCCCAATACAAGGTCATTTTGCCAAAAAGTTCTGACACTTATTTCCTGATGAATTTTCTCATACTTTGTGATTTTTCCTTGTTAATATTTTTTTTTCCTTGTTAATAATTGAGGCGTTGATAGTGAGTCAGAGTTCAGAATGGAGTTCTTAAGTGGAATGAACTAGAATTTGCCTAAAACTACCATCTACCTACCCAATTCCCTCCAATCCTCTCTTCTTGAAACATGTCATGTTCCCATGAAGAATGTGTTTGGCATTTTGGTAAGGATTGTGATGGATCTGTAGATCTCTATTAATACTGTGGTCATTTTCACAATATGAATTCTTCCGATTTACAAACATGGAATATCTTTCCATTTTTGTGCCCTCTTCATTTCCTCTCATCAATATTTTATAGTTTTTCTGGTAGCGGTCTCCTACCTCTGTGGGTGAATTTGTTTATTTATTTACTTATTTTTAGAGCCAAGCTCTCACTGTGTCACCTTGGCTGGGTGCAATGGAAAACTCAGAGCTCACTGCAGCCTCGAACTCCTGAGCTCAAGAGATCATCCTGCTCCAGCCTCCTGAGTATCTGCAGTTACAGGCAAGCACCACCATACTTGGTTAATTAACAAAGATTTTTTGTAAAGATGGGGGTATCGCTATGTTGCCCAGGCTGCTCTCCAATTCCTGGTCTCTATCCATCCTTGGGGACTAAGGTCACCATGCTGATGTTTACATATCCCTATACATAGTGTAATTATCACTACAGTAAAGCTAATTAATGTATTCATCAACTTACACAGTGACTATTTTCTTTTCATTATTTATTTATTTCCTTAATTCCTGGGTCAAGCAATCCTCTTGCCAGAGGTTGCAGTGAGCCAAGATTGCTCCACTGCACTCCAGCCTGGGCGACGGAATGAGACTCCATCTCAAAGAAAAAAAAAAAAAAGCTATCAAAAGAAAGCCAGATGTGGCTTATGTCTGTAGTCTTACCTGCTAGGGAGGCAGAAGCAGGATTGCTTGAGCCCAATACTTTAGAAATAAATACACAAATGATAAAAAGGAAAGAACATGGTATCTATGTGAGATGATGGAGATGTTAACTAACTTGGTCCTGGCGACTGCATCACAATGTATACCTGTTTCCAAACTTCAGCTTGGTGACCTTCGTTAATAGTAATGTGTTGGGAAAATCTAAGCCAGAGCAAGGAACAAACTGCATCCAATTCGGAAGGAGGAAGTCGAATTGTCTCTCTTTGCCAACAACATGATGTCATCTATAAAAACCCCTGAAACCTCCAGCAGTAAAACTCTTAGAATTGATAAACCAGTTCAGTAAAGTGGCTAGATACTAAGTCCATATGCAAAAATAAGTAGTGTTTTTATACACCAACAACGAACTAGTGGCAAAAAGAAAATCAAGAAAGCAATCTCATTTACAAGAGCAAAAGACACCCCAAAAACCTGGAAATAAATTTAACCAAAGAGGTGAACGATTTCCACAAGGAAAACTATTAAACGCTAATGAAAAATATTAAAGCGGACCCCAGAAAATGGGAAGACATGTTCATGGGGTGGAAGAATCAATA